TATGTTGAAACCTGATCCCCAATATGATGATATTTGGAGGTGCACTTTTGGGAAGGTGATCAGGTCATGATGGTAGAACCCCCATGAATGGAATGAATGTCCTTATAAAAGATGCCTCAGAGAACTCTCTTCCCCATTCTGCCTGTGAGGACACAGTGAGAATATGGCCATCTATGAACCAGAAAATTGCTTCTCACAAGACACCAAATCTTCTGGAACCTTGATCTTGGATCAAGGATAAGCCTCCAGGATTATGCAAAATAAGTGTTTGTTGTTTAAGGAACCCAGTCTATAATATTTTTTCCTATAATAGCCTAAACAGACTGAGAGAAATGTCATTAAAAGAAGATATACAGAGGGGTACCTGGGTGGATCATTTGAGTGTCTAGCTCTTGATTTTGGCTCAGGTCATGATACCAGGGTCATGGGATTGAGCCTGGTGTCAGGTTCCTTGCTGAGCATGGAACCTGCTTAAGAATCTTTCTCTCTCTCCCTCTGCCCCTCTCCCTGACTCACATGTTCTCCCTCTCCCTCTCTCTCCCTCTCTCTCTCTCTCATTCTCTCCTAAAAAAAAAGATATACAGCTGTCAAATAAGCATATTAAGATGCCTCTTATCATACTCACAAGGGAAGTACAAATTAATACCATTATACCTTAGAATGTTCAAAACACAGAACACTGAGAACACCAAATGCAGGTTATGATATGGAGTAACAGTGACTTTCATTCATTGCTGGATGGAATGTAAAATGGTACAGCCACTTTGCAAGAGAATTCTGTGGTTTCTTACAACACTAAAACATCATCTTACTGTATGATCCAGCTGTCATAGTCTTTTCCATTTACCCAAAGGCATTAAAACCACCACACAAAAACCTGTACGAGGATGTTTGCAGCAGCTTTATTCATAATTGCTAAAACATGCAAAGCCTCCAAAAGGTACGTCAGCAGGTGAATAAATTGTGGTACATCCAGGCAATGGACTATTATTCAGGTCTGTAAAGAAATAAGGTATTGACCATGAAAAGACATAGAGGAACCTGCAGTATGTATTAATGAGTGAGAGAAACTAATCTGAAAACACTACATACTGTATGATTCCAACTATATGATATTTTGGAAAAGGCAAAACTATAGAGACCGTGAAAAAGATCTCTGGTTACCATAGGTTGCACTGGGGGAAAGGTGAATTGATGGGATACAGAAGATTTGTAGGACAGTGAAAATACTCCATATGATACCATAATGGTAGATGCATGTCATTATACATTTGTCCAAATTCATACCATGTGTAAAACCAAAAAAGAACTATAAAGTAAACTATGGACAGAGGGTGATTATCATGAATCCAGGCAGGTTCATCCGTTATAACAAATATACCCTCTGGTATGGTATTGGGGGAATGCAATGCATGTGACAGGGCAGAGAGTACCTGGGCAATCTCTGTACCTCCCCTCAATTTTGCTGTGAACCTTAAACTGCACTGAAAAAATAGTCTTAAAACATTTTTTAAAAACCACAAAGGCCACAATTTAGGATGGATACATTATATATATGTGTATATATATATACATATATATACACACACACACATATATGTTGTAAAATGTATATATATTTACATATATATGTAAATGTTGTAAAATATTTTAAATGGCAGTTAATATAGGTATGTCACCAAAACTCCAATTTAATAATTTAATATAAGAATCTTAGACAATCAAATTATTTTCTGTGAAATGCATTCTTCTTATCTGTCACTGTATGCACATAACTTTTTCAACAGTATATGTAGGTCTTAAATTACAATAGATAGTACTAATTTATTTGGAATCACATCATATTGAGGATGTTTTGCTTTTTTATGATGTGTGGGTATATGAAATAAGGTGCCCCTCATAGTTAAAGGACCATAAATTAATAAATTTTGGCTAGGAGCGCCTGGGTGGCACAGTCGGTTAAGCGTCCGACTTCAGCCAGGTCACGATCTCGCGGTCAGTGAGTTCGAGCCCCGCGTCGGGCTCTGGGCTGATGGCTCAGAGCCTGGAGCCTGTTTCCGATTCTGTGTCTCCCTCTCTCTCTGCCCCTCCCCTGTTCATGCTCTGTCTCTCTCTGTCCCAAAAATAATAAACGTTGAAAAAAAAATAAAATAAATTTTGGCTATATTAAATCCACATGTTTAGGTATTTGCACTTTGTATATTATATGTTACACATGAATATATTACAAATGAGGGCACTTGGGTGGTTCAGTCAGTTAAGCATTCAAGTTTTGGTTTTGGTTTAGGTAATAATCTCATGGTTTGTAAGTTTGAGCCCTGTATCGGGCTATCCATTGATGGTGCAGAGCCTACTTGGGATTCTTTCTCCCTCTCTCTCTGCCCCTCTCACTTCTCTCTCTCTCTCTCTCTCTCTCTCTCTCTCTCTCTCTCTGAAAATAAACTTTAAAAAAAATCATAGATATATTACAAATGATAATAAGAATGACTATGGTGTTTCTTATTTATTGTCTACACAATACACATTCTCTTATTTAGTCCAAAGCATCCTCCTAGAAGGGCACCTGGGTGGCTCAGTTAGTTAAGCGTCTGACTTTGGCTCAGGTCATGATCTCATGGTTTGTGGGTTCAAGCCCCATATCAGGCTCTATGCTGATAACTCAGAGCCTGGAGCTTGCTTCAGATTCTGTGTCTCCCTCTCTCTCCCCCATCCCACTCATGCTCTGTCTCTGTCTTTCAAAATAAATAAATATTTTTAAAAAAGTTTTAAACAACAACAAAACCAAAGCATCCTCCTGAAAAAGGTACTGTATAGCTCCTATTTTGAAGTTAAGTAAACTGAGGCACAGAAAGAATGTCACCCAGCTAGCACTTAGCAAAATTTGGATTTCATCTCAAGTGTTATTAACAGCCATGTTCTTTACCACAATGCCACAGTTCCACTTGATGTCCACATGAGAGTCTGACTTGAGACATGTTTGAAATTATTCCTAAAATTCAACAGATGTTTAGAATCTCATCATTTTTCTCTTGAGACAAAACCCCTATATAGTATAAAACATTTTCCAGCATCACTTTTGTATGTATATCTGTGATTTCAGAGTTACCTTCGCTCTCTGAGGAAACATTATTTCAGTCATCTTGGTTTTATAAAAGTGTACTTCTAAACAGTATTTGATAATAAATGTAAACAAAAGTGTTGTGGTCATTAATTTTGAACTAATCATATATATATGTGTGCGATATACTATAAATTTTCAAGTGAATGAAATATCAAAATTACCACAATTTTATGATTACATTTCTCCTGAGCCTTTATTATGTATACATAGGATATTAATCATATTTTGGTTCAGCACTTGTTAAATATTTTTCTACATTTGCATTTAAAAGTAATTAAATTATGCAAACACTTTTTAAAAATGATATCAAGCCCATAAAGGCTACGTAATGATATAGAAAAATGTATACTAATAACGGGAATACAGAACACATCATGTAGAATTTATATGTATTCAAAGTAAATAAAATTATAAGTAAATACTGGAAGTGAAAGTATAATAATATATGACATTAATAAGGCCCAACTTGTCAATAATCTTTACCATGGATTGTGCTTTTGGTGTTGTGTCTAAAACTCATCACAAAACACAAAGTTATGTAGACTTTCTCTTGTTTTGTTCTAGGGGTTTTAAAGTTTAGCATTTTACAGATAAGTCTGTAATTGATTTTGATTTAATTTTTATGAAAAGTATAAGGTTTATGTGTTCTTCTCCCTCCCATTTATTTTAAAGATTATCGTGTCTCCTTTGCACCTTTGTCAAAAAATCAATTGGCTATATTTGTGAAGGTCTATTTCTGAGCTTTTGATTATATTCCATTGACTTTGTGTCTATTTTTCAAGCATACCACACCATTTTGATTACTGTACCTTTATAATTACCCTTAAATCAAGTTGACGTTTCCAATTTTTTTCTTCTTTTTTAATATTATGTTGGCTATGCTAGGTATTTTGCCTTTCCATATGAATTTTAAAATTAATTTGTCATAGGTACACATAGCTTATTGGGATTTTGTTTGGGATTATACTCAATCAATAGACCAAGACTTGACATCCCAATAATATTATGTCTTCCAATTCATGAATATGAATATCTCCCCATTTATTTACATATGCTTTATTTTTCCTCAGCATTAATTTTTAGTAATTAGGTAAACATTAGGTAAAAACTAAGGAAATGTCAATAAACTATGGCCTTTACTTAATAGCATATCAATATTGGTTCATTAATCTTGGCAAATGTACCATTATAATGTAAGATGTTAATAATAGGGGAACTGGATGTGGGTATATTGGAACTCTGTACTATCTTTGGCATTTTTCTGTATTTCTAGAACTATACTAGAATTAAAGGTTTATATAAATAAGGAAACTGTTTTCATAGTAATTGGGTTGGGCAATTTTTTCATGAGTTTTTAAAGCTTTTATCATTATATTTATGTATTCAAAATGACTCTAATATTATAGTTAAGAAGGTCACTATAAATTACACAAATCTTACTCCTTGTTCTTAAAAAATAGTGAGTTTACATATAAAGAAATATTTTATTTACTAATTTACTATGGGATGACATTAAATGCCAACTAAATCTTACCTCATTAGCCTAGAGTACTAGAAAAACCTACTAAAAAGTTATATTTGTTCTAGGAATAATTTACAAACCAGGAAAATTTAGAAAAATAATACCTAAGCATTTACTGAAAGGAAACACATTTATTATTCTGTTATTAAATGCTGAATTACTATTAAGTTAAATATTTTTCTACTTTGTTTTTAAAGTATAGCTCCAGTCCTTATATCACAAACTGTCATCTGCAAGTCATGTAAGAGAATGCATTTGCTAAATATTATAAAAAATTGCAGAGCTCTTTTAGGGGATAGAATAGTTTCCTGTGACTGCATTAACAAATTGCCACAAATTTAGTAGCTTAGAACTTACTCTGTCTAGCAGAAGGCTAGCAGTTCAGCATCAGGTTCTAGAACAAATCAAGATGTCAGTAGGACTGCACTCTTTCTCTGAAGGTGTAGCAATTTGTTTCCTTCCTTTTCCAGCTTTAAGTGGTTGTCTGCATTTCTTTGTTTATAATCTCATGATTCCAGCCTGTCCCTTTGTGTCACTTTGCTTTCTCCTCTTCTGTATATATATGATCTCTCTCTCTTACGAGGACACTTGTGATTCGATTTAAGGCCCATCTTGATAATCCAGGATGATTTCCCTATGTCAGGATCCTTAATCACATCTGGAAAGACTCTTTGTCCTTGTAAAATAACCTTTAAATTTCCAGGGATTAGAGCCTGATGTCGTTGGGTGATCATTATTTAACCTCTTTAGAGGTCAAGGAGGATGATTTTCTTTGTGCATACTTAATTAACAATTAATACGGGCTAGTGGTTCTGTAAAGTGTTAAACAGTGAAAATTAAGGTTTGCATAATTACCCAGGGGATTTTTAGGAAATCTAGCATTGCACTTTGAAATTTTTTTCTTACTGTTTAAAACAAATACATGTTTGCATTATGTTTCATGGAAATATTTTTAGATTAGTCATAAGAAATCACCCTAGCTTGCCTTAATGTATTTGTGTGGGTTTTATTGTTCGTTAGTATGACTAATTGCATTCTAGACAAATGTGGGGACATTGGCGAAATTGGGAAACTTAAAAAGAAGAACTCTGAAATGCAATTTGTTTTCACTTTGTTGGGCAGCCAGTTGAAGCAGCCATACTTCTGGGTTCTAGCAACTGAATAAAAATATCTAAGGATCTGCACGAAAAGTCAGCCTCTGTCTATAAGTCTTCAGCATGGCACAACCATGGGCAAGTGTTGGGGGGGTGGAATATGTGAAAGTATGTTTTTGTTTGGGAGTGGAGAAGGTAAGATGGAGGGATAGGAGGCTCTGCTCTTACTAATAAACAGGATTTGTTTATAAGTCTGACACCTAATTGAATCATAGGCTGACTGAGTAATAGTAGAAAAAAATTTGAGACAAGCTCACCTAATCAAACTTATTCATTTTTCCAATAAGGAAATGACTATAGAGATGTGGATGATTATCTAATAACACCTACATAATTAATAATAGAGCAAAAATTAAAACCCAGGTTTTATGCTATTTTTATTCCAAAAGAGATTTGTCTCTCATTAAAACTTGACATCAAAATGTGTAAAGTTATAAAAATCTGGGGCGCCTGGGTGGCTCAGCCGGTTGAGCGTCCCACTTTGGCTCAGGTCATGATCTCGCAGTTTGTGGGTTCAAACCCCACATCGGGCTCTGTGCTGACAGCTCAGAGCCTGGAGCCTCCTTCAGATTCTGTGTCTCCCTCTCTCTCTGCTCCCGCCCCCCACTCACACTCTGTCTCTCTCCTTCAAAAATAAATAAATATTAAAAAATAAATTTAAAAAATAAATTAAAAAGATAAAAATCAACATTTGCCAAATAAGAACTTTAAAAATAAACTAATACTTTTTGTTTTGTTTTTAGTGTAAGAGCTGGGTAGCTTAACAGATAAAATGTTAGCAAAATTTTCTCTGTTATTTATTGATAGTAAAGTTTTCTTTTCCATTTTGTCCAATTCATTTTTTAAAAGATTTTATTTATTTGTAATTTTTTAATGTTTATTTTTGAGAAAAAAAGAGAGAGAGAAAGAAAGGGAGACACAGAATCCAAAGCAGGCTCCAGGCTCTGGGCTGTCAGCACAGAGCCCAGTGCAAAGCTTGAACTCACAGACCATGAGATCACGACCTGAGCTGAAGTCAGAAGTTTAGCCAACTGAGCCACCCAGGTGCCCCTAAACATTTTGTTTTTAAGTAATCTCTGTATTCAATGTGGGGCTCGAACTTCACAACCCTGAGAGCAAAAATTGCATGCTCTACCAACTGAGCCAGACTTGCACCCCTCAAATTTATTGTTTTGAGCTTTAAATTATTTCTGTTCTGGATTATTTGCTATTACTCAGTAAATATTTTAGAGCTGAAATGAAATTTATTATAAACTAGACATAGTTGGTTATAAGAGACTGTCAATCATGGAATATTTCATTTCAACGTTCTTATAGAAAAAAGGCATGAAAATCTATCTATTTCAGCATATCATTGTTTTTAATTCATCCTTTATTGATTCATACCTATTGAATCAGAGTGGGACCATTTAATGAATTACTTATATTAACAGCATTCATTAGACAATTCAAAATAAGCGATTAGAATATCTTAATGAACACCATAACTTTCATTCACAATTTTTCCTAAGTGGAGTATGTCAAAATTATTTTTCCCATAAACTAATCAAAGCAAGAAGCATCCTTAATCTTTAGAAATTAATGTTACCAAAAGAGCTTCTTTTAATAAAGAATCTCTCTTTTTAGGGGCACCTGGGTGGCTCAGTCAGTTAAGTGTCCGACTTCGGCTCAGGTCACGGTCTCACAGCTCATGAGTTCAAGCCCAGCTTCGGGCTCTGTGCTGACAGCTCAGAGCCTGGAGCCTTCTTTGGATTCTGTGTCTCCCTCTCTCTATGCCCCCTCCACCACTTGTGCTTTGTCTCTCTCTCTGTCAAAAATAAATAAACATTAATAAAAATCTTTTTAAATTCTCCAGATTATAATCTTAAAAGCATGGCTACCAGTGAAAACTTTTCCCCCCCAACATCAGAGTATTTGAAAACTCATTTTTAACTTTTTAAAAATTAGTCTTAATGATTAGAAATTTGATAAGTGATCTATGAAGACTGTACCAGCTTGTGAAGTACAATTTATCTTAAATTAAAATGCTCCCTTATTTGACAAGACAATAAAATGTTCTGTGTCATGCCATGAATTATATGAGTATACTTGTCAGTATAAATTTTCTGGCAATGGTAATAAAGAATTCTATCATTCATTTTATTGCTGGAGAGAATCATCGTTTCTTATTCATACTAACACAGCATTTCCATTACTTCTCACAATAGCCTTGGCAGTGCTTCAAAATGAGTGTTATTATAAAATATTCTATTACAGCATGGTAAATATAGGACTTTCTTTTACATTTTGTCCACAGTTCTCCAAAGAGGACTTTACTTTGATTATGCTGATCACCTCGCAAGTGAGAAAAACTGACTTTCAGATTTTGCCTATTGGAAGTATGAATTTTTTTTTCTGGAAGTCGTCTCATACACCAGATTGCATTGTCATGTTGCAGACTTTGTTACTGCCTTCTTTGTTTTCACTTCAGCACTTGAGTATGAAGCTTGTTTGGAAAGGCATCAAATGCCTAGACACAAGGTAATATATTTAGAAGTCAAAGATAATAATTAATGTGTATTAAATAATTTAGTAAAATTCAAAAATCTGAAACTCATTTATTTTTTATCACTAACAAGAAAGAGTCATAAAAGTAACTTTACTTTTTGAAGACTTTATGTTCTCTATTGTTAACAGTAGTACTGATGAGTATTGTTGAGCAACTACTTGATCTCTAACAGTAGTACTGATGAGTATTGCTGAGCAAATACTTGACAGTGCTCACAAGCATATAATATATATGAGTGTTGGAAAATTATGGTTCAAGGTTTTTCCAAAAACTCATTAAAATATTATTAATTATAAAAAAACAAAGATTTCTTCCTGTAAAAGGTTTAGTATTTTTAGTATTTTGATTTTCTTTCTCTATCACTCAGTCTGTTAGACATCTATATATATTGCAGGATATTCACATCAGTTTTCCAAGCTGGGAAACATGAGTAGCTGTTCTAGTACTTCCCCTTAAGTAACACCAAGTACCGTACTTGCCATTTTGACATTTCTCAATCTTGAACCATTTCCATCATCAACTTTCTCCATTCTCCTTCTTAAATTATTTACTCCATATTTCTTTAATGACTTCATTCTTTTACTTCCTTTTTTAAAAATGCAGTTAAACAGTTCATTACACATACAGAAATGTAAGATCATGGTGTCAGCTTCCTGCATCCCTAGTTTCACAGAATGACACAAAACCAGATGGGCCAGATGATAGATGACATGAGCAGTGGGTTATTTTATCATTTAGTACTCAGCCCTAGATTACAGCCAATCAGTTTTATACCCACAGAGGATGGGACAGAAAGGGAAGGGAAGTATCCTTGTGGCAGCTTTCCACACATAGAGTGCTTCTGAAAGATAGGGAGGTGACATGTACATTGCACCCACCATGTTCCAAGGATGATCTTGGGATATTTTATCAAGACTGTTCAAACTGTGGTTAAGCTTTGCCTATGTCTGCCTTATGTGGAGATGTGCAGAGTTTCCAGGGCTTCATATGTTCTCCTACATTCACACAACAGTTACTACTATTTGTTTTCTGTTTTTAGTTCAAGGATAGGCTTTAATTATTTCCTCATTATACCAAGTACTGTTTTTCTAGTGATTCTCATAAGTAAAAATTCCCTCCAATTTCAAACTATTCTTCCTGTTAACCCTTTGGCTAGATATATAGAGATCAAATCTAAGGGTAAAATTAATCTGATCAAAATCTATTTAATGTTCTTCATTGCTTTTGGAATGAAGTAACATATCTATAATTTTTTAAGGATTTCATAGTCTTGCCCCAAACCACTTTTCTAATCATTTCCCAGCAAGTATATTATTCCATTTAATCTGATGGATTCATCATTTCCTGAGGATTTGCTGCAACTTGCACTTACACTTCTCAAGCCTACAGCAGTTTTGCGTGTCAGTATTCTCTTCAGCAGCAAATATTCATCACAAATGCTTCTTTATTTACCATTCCTTCTCTGAACATTAGAACTGAACTTTCCTACTTTTGACTTCCAGGTGTCTAGTTATATACTTCTTGTAATATATTACTTATAGCTTGTCTTATTGATATTTTCACATAGGCAACATGTGTCTACTGTATAAAATATAGGAATCATAGTACTTTTTATGTCCTTCTTGTTTTTTGTACTATAAAATGTGCTCAATAAATTCCAACTGATTTACCATCAGTTCCAAATTCAGGCAATATTTGTCACTTTTGTTAGCTGAATTCCATCCATCATGGTTTCATGATCAAGAAAATAAATCCCTATTAGACAACTAACTTACAAAGAAGTGGTATGTATTATCTCATTAACTGTATG